CTATTTTAATATATAAAGAGTTAGGACCAATCAACTCATTACCAATTCAATTGTCAATTTTTTGGGGTGAAAATATATTAAAATTTAATTGTCAATCTCGCAAGTCGTCGCAGTTACATGCATGCATGCACTATCAAATTTTTTTTATTTTTAAAAAAAATATTAAACAACGAATTAATGAGCAAGTTACTTTGTTATCCACAATCAAGAACAAAATATTGTAGATATGTGAGGGGGTAAAACTAAGTCTGTTTTCCAAGACCACCAAAACCTCGACACATTTTACAAAGCCTTAAACCTCCACAACGACCAGCACGATATCGGCCGCCAACACTGAGCAATTGGCCGCCAAGACCGCCAAATCGGAAGGAATCTCTCACTACAACCTTCTCAAGTACAAGTTTACATCCTATCATGTCACTTCCATTAAGTTCCAATGCCTTCTGTACGCCTTCTTTCATATCAATGTAAGCAAATCTGTAAAACAAAGAAAGAACAAAACATTGTTTTAAGTTCGCATTCTACTTAAGTCGTCACAACTTAGAGGAGCAAGTCACAAACCCTTTGATAGCACCGGTTTCTATGCCTCTTGGAATAAAAACCCGTGTGATTTGTCCACATGAACTGAAATGTTTACTCAATTCACTGTTAATATCATCTTCTGGAAGGGCAGTCTCAAATTCTTTAACGTAAATCGTTTCAATACTGCCACATAATAAGTGCAAAAATTTCAAGAGAGAACATTTCTATCAACACAAGAACATCTTATGAAAACAAAAATCAATTTATACCCGCTTTCTTGAGTGTTTGAATCTGAACTGCTTGCAACTTTGCTAGCTGGCAGAGCTTCCTTCTTCGTAGAGAACGGTTTAATATTTATATAGATAAGGAACAGAAAAAACAAATACAAACGCAAGACTTCTGAAGATTATAATTCCTATTAACACACTACATATTCTAAATTAGTGATCAACAAAAATTAGAATACTCAAGACATAATTAGAAGAATGAGATGTAAAGTATATTA